TTTTACTTCATTTAAATTTTTTCTCATTTTTTTTTGTATATATAAGTTAAAAATGATAATTCAATAAAGTGATATAAATAATAACTTCTTTGTTTTATGATAGGAAATAAATAGTATCTTGTTTCTAGTTTAAAAATGGGTTATTCGATAATTTTTTTGGTTTGTTTATTTTTTATGTTTTTCTTTTTAGTTTTTCATTAAATTTTTCTTTCGTATCTTCTAACCATTTTATTGTTTGATGACCAGGTCATTAGCTTCTCTTTGTTAATATCCCTTCATGACTTTACGATATTTTTTGTTATATTTGTATTTTAATTCAAATATTAGTTCTATGATTGATTGTTCATTAGATAATATTAGTATCAGTTCTTTTTGTTTAATTATTTCATCTTATATATACTATCATTATCTCAACATACTCTATAATGTTTAAAGATAATTTTATATCTAAATGTTGATTTTGAATATAACTATTTATATTATATATTTGTATTTACGTTTATTATTTTTCTGTTCATTGATTCATTTCTTTTCTATATCAATTGCTACTTCTTTATTTAGTTTTATGTTAAAATATATTTCTAGTTATTATTTGATATCCGTATTTCTAATTTAACAAATAAAATTGGACTAATTTATTGTTAAATATTATCTTGATTGTATTGATAAACAATCTTATAGGAATTTCTAATAACTTTTAATTGATTGAATTAATATAGACATAAAATATATCACGTACTATATGTTATGATATTATTAAAAGGATTTCATAATTTAATTTAAGTTTATACATTCATTAATGTTTAATTTAATAATATATATTTTATCATTTATAAATCATTTTCCTTGATAATAATTATATATAATTATTTGATAAACAATACTATTATAATATGAAATGAAGTAATTTTCTTTTATGTTCTTTGTTTATTTTATATTTAACTAGCCATAATAACTTTGTTAGAATTTAAAAGAAAATTATAATTTGTGAGTTGGTTACTATAATCATTATAATTACAACTTAAATATCTGACTAACGTATTAATATATTTCAATTTATATAATTCAAATGATATATCATCATATTTCATTATCAATTTATTTTTATTTCTATTTGTAAGCTATAAAAACTAATAATTAAGTCACTTCTTAAAAGATAATTTATATCATTCATTTTCTTTGAGAGTAATTGAAATTCTAATTACTTCCATTTTTAGAACTTAAATAACTATCTCATTTTCGTAATGTAGCATAATACTCCAATCATATAAGAAAGCAAATAAATAGTATCTGAATAAACGTTTATAACAATAAAATACTTCATACCCCATTATTCTAATAATAAACAAATAATATGATTTCTATTAATTTAAACACAATTAAATAAAATTATATTTTTTAATTAACTTAAATCAAATTAATCAAAAAAATATTTATTATAAGTTTACAAGAATCAGATTGAGAGTAATAGGAAAAAGAAAATAAAACATAAATATTTAATATTTATACACAAATGAAATAAAGAAATGAGAAATGGCAGAGTTACAAAAATATAAAAAATACACAAAGTAGAGAATACAATATAACACAAATCAAATAAGAAAGAAGATATTAAATGAACAAAATATCAATATTTGAAATGGATTATATAAAGAAATAGTATAGTGCATAAAGATCATAATTAAATGATAAATAAGTATAAGTTAATTTAATATTAATAAGAGTTATGAATCTTAAACAATCAATTTAAATATATAGAATACGAAAAGAAATGATATTTATTTACTAATGTAAACAATAAAAATTAATAAAATGAAATTACATGATTTACATAATAAGATATGAATATATCATAAATAATTAAAATATAAAGAAATAATGAATAAAATAGAAATAGGTAATAAATGAATAAAAAGAAGAAAGATAGAAAAATATCTGATTAGAAGATAGGAAAAGAATAAGAAACAATAAACAATGAATTTCAATAATTTTATATGAAATAAAGAGAATGAAGAAAATATCTTTCAAAAATATTGAACGAAATGAATCAATAATAAAAATATATAAATAATATACAATGATTCAAGAAATTTGGTTATTACACATTATAAATTATTAGTTATGAAGAGTGATAATAATAAATGAAATGAATTGTAATTAATTTACAATATAAATATATTTATTTAGTGTATGTGATAAAATAGAAAATAATAATATAAATAAATGATATAAATGATAACATTATATAAAAAGAATATAACAATAAACTGGATAAGTAGATGAATATTGATTTTAATAAACAATTAAATAAAACAATAAATGTAATGAGAATAGTTCAATGAAAAGAGCATAAAACTAGATAATATTGTTTTAATAAAGAATTAATTATAATAAAAATATCATTCTATCATGAAGAAATTCAATTAAAATAA